CATTTTAACCCGTGTTAATCTCCATTTTAACCCGTGTTAATCTCCATTTTAACCCGTGTTAATCTCCATTTTAACCCGTGTTAATCTTCATTTTAACCCGTGTTAATCTCCATTTTAACCCGTGTTAATCTCCATTTTAACCCGTGTTAATCTCCATTTTAATCCGTGTTAATCTCCATTTTAACCCGTGTTAATCTCCATTTTAACCCGTGTTAATCTCCATTTTAATCCGTCTTAATCTCCATTTTAATCCTTGCCAATTTTCATTCTGACACTAAATTAAGGTGTCTAGTCAAGGTAGAAAACCCATTATTATTTATTGTATTTATTATCCATTTGGTTTCATTGTTGAGTTTTACAGCCCAGTCAACTTATCAGAATCTCATAAGCGTTTATAATTTTAGTCATAATATGTTACCAATTCATACATTTGGTCTTGTGTTTATCATGTTATTAACGTTTCAAGCGATCCAATGTTTTACCAAACTTGATTTCTTGGTTTTCTCGTTGCAGGAGCTGGAACGCGTGGTAGAGCGCGGACTTCAGCTCATGGTGGACCCCCAGGCGGATGAAGAGATTGAAGACGAAGGGACCGAGGGACAGGGCGTCTACTGCGTGACGTGTGGCCACGAGGTGTCCACGCGACGTGCTATCAAGCATATGGAGAACTGCTTCAATAAGGTACAAACTGTCGAATCAATGCAATTTAGGTCAATTGTAATTCAATAACGGTGACAATTCAATCGAGTTGTTGAATTCAGAAATAAATAACCAAGAAGAATGATAGAGTTTGCTTCAAAATTTAAAATTTGAAAATGACAATCGTTATTCACAGAAATCCAACAGTTTCGCTTCTTTTTTACTCTGAACCAAACTTTTTTATTTTATACAACTCAATACATTTTTTAGGTCTAACTAACTGGTTCAAATTCTATGCGATTTTTCTCGGAAGAATAAGCTTAGACGTTGACGCTGATGATTCATGTTGCAGATGGAGAGCCAGACCACGTTTGGATCCCAATTCAAAACTCGCATTGAAGGCAACACGATGTTCTGCGATTTTTACAGTCCCTCCACACGCACTTACTGCAAGCGCCTGCGTGTGATGTGCCCTGAGCACTACAAGGAACCTAAAGTACCTGAAACCCGGGTAAGTTTTCTAGAAAATAACAGAAATTTAGGGTTAGGTTAGGTTTAGGTTTAGGTATGAATATCATAAGCCAAATCATATTCAATAGAAACTTTATGGCGTTAACGTCGAAAGAAGGAGAAAAGCGACAAAACTTTAACACAGTATTCACTGCAGTGAGTGACAGAGAGCGCATTTTCTCGTCGACGAAAACGTGAAGTCCCGTACGGACAGACAGACGGACGGACAGACTGGCGGATAGACGGACATGGCGAGCACAATAGTGCATTTTTTTCCATAAATGAGAAAATGCGCTAAAAAGAGAGGGAAGAAATAATGGAATGCTAGTTCACAAGCGTGCTGGAGCAACTGCTACCTGATAGTATAAGAAAGAAATTACACGGTATGTTCAACTGGCAGTGGATTGAATGAGAGTAAGATTGACATGAAACTTACGGAACAGCGTAGAATTACGTCGGAATTTGAGGAACCCGTAAAATAGGAGCCTTTTGTTTAGTTACGGAAGCTTTGTTTATTATTACAAGAGACGGGAAAAGAGGTAACTGTGTTTTGTAATGGTGCAGGTGTGCGGAGCGCCGTTACTGCAGGACTTGTTCAAGGAGAGCGGTGAGTTGTGCCGCGCGTCTCGCAAGAAATGCATCAAACATTACCGCTGGGAGCGGCTATGCAGACCAGATGTTTGCTTAGACAACACCTGCTGGCGAGATGTTTGCTTAGACAACACCCGTAAGAAAGATGTTATTATGTGTATTTTCTGTTGAACTTAGGACGTTCGCATAAATTATCCCTGTTCCGCGTTAACGTTAAGAAAAGTAGGAAAAATATTTGTTATTCATAGATTTTTTAGAAAACTTTTTTCTTCAGTCTTATTCGTGGGGACCGAAATTCAGTTTACAAGTATAGTTTATCGAAAGGTGACTGCAGTATGTGTATTTAGAATATTATTTTTTTATAAGAATAATTACAAAAAGTGGTCGTTTACGAAGATCATGGCAATACCATAGGTACCTAATCGAAAGTTTTTGAAACCCTTCTTTGGATTGGGTTTACAATACATATTCAACCATTCGACAACTTGTTCCCTTTGCTGTAATTTTATGCTCCTTGAACTTTAAATATGGCGATAAAGATAGCTCCGATGTATTCTTAATGTGCCACTTTTCAGTGGATGAAACTGGACGAGTTACTGGAGCAAGAGCGCCTAGTGCGTCAGTCCATGACGAACAGAGCGGGGGTGCTGGGCCTGATGCTGCACTCTACCTTCGATCATCCTCTCGCTTCTAGGTTTGAGCAACTGAAACTGCAACAGCAGCAACAACGGGAACAGCAGCTGAGACAACAGCAAGAACAGCACTTCGCCCAGCAAATCGACCAGGCTTCAAAAACAGAAAATGAGGCGCATGACACTTTCGCGTCTCCTCCAGTTGTACAGCGGTTATCTACTGAGACAATGCAGCCAGAAGGGCGTCAAATACTACAAACTATTCAAGTTCAGAAACCACAGACAATCACGATACCTAAGTTTCGCCTGTATGGTCCTCAACAGCCGATGCACAAAATTGGAAATCAATCAGGTTCGAACCCGCAGGTCGTACGCGTTCAGTTGCAGTCGCCCCAGCAGCTCAATATGGTGCGCCCTAAACCCCCGACACACGTGGTCGTTCAGCAGTCCAACGCGTTACCAGAACAACAACAGATGGTAAACCAACAATCCCTAAATCAGAGACCAGTATTACAAGTGCAGTATTGCAAGCCACAGGGGCAACAGCAACCCTCACAACCCCATGCACAAAGTAAAGTTACACTCTCAGACCACCGATATTTCCAGAACCCTGCCAAAGTTCCTCAGACTCCTAACACCGTGACACTCGTGCGTCGCTCTGACCACATTTATTACCGACCTCCGGCGTCGGGTGCTGCTCACCTCAAGCTTAAGGTGACACAGCATAAAACTACCACCCCGCCCAACCAGAAGAAAGTCATCCACCTGCAGAAGTCTGCTAGTGGCAGTTTGTACCTGCAGACTCCACAGTCTCAGACATCTGCGAGGTGAGGCTGTGTAAATTTTAAAACCATTTATCCGTAAATAAGTGTGAGCGATTTCAGATTACTTCAGTCCATTAACCGCAAATAAATAAAGTATTTTTAAGCTGAGAAATTAGAACTTTAATTCTCCAAAATTTTCATTGAAATCGTTTTGGAACTGAGCTTAATCAGCACTTCATGACGATTTCCAAGAAAAAATATTGAATTTTGTCATTTTTTTTGCTTGCAATCAATTTCATTTGGTTACAAGCAAGATGTGCACTCCTCGATATTTATTCAGTAAAATTTTTATGTTCAATAAACTTTGATGTTCGAGTCTAGACATTATGAGGCAGACAGCACATTAAAGAGATGTTCTGTCTCTTATTTCAAGTCGTACACTTATTTTCATTTGGATAAAAGTAATAGGTTTTACACCGATTAAGCCGATAATGTCATAACCTTGATCACTTGCAACCAAGAGAATCACGAGAAATTCTCCTTTTTAATTGGTATTAAAATATTTTAAACAAAATTTTGTTTACTTTAATGGTGCAATTCTTACGAATGATTTGCCTTCCTTGCAATTTCTCACGTATCAGCAATTCTTATAGAGCTTTCAACAAAATCATTGCCCTACGATTTATTTCAGGTTTGTGTAATTTTTATAAAATTCACAGCGGCTTTAGTGTTTACATTACTGAGCTTTTCACTGCGGAATGAGTGTCACATCATTAAGCTACTCACAGCGGCTTTAGTGGTCACATTGGTGCGCTCTTCAAAGCAGCTTGAGTGTTTTAGATTACTCAGCTATTCACAATAGCTTGATTGTTCACTTAGCTCAACTGTTCACAGTGGCGTGAGTATTCGCTTTACTTAGTTATACAAAGCGGCGTTAACATTACTGTTATTTACCGCGGCTGTAGTGTTCAAATTAATTAGAAATATAGAGTGGTTTAGGAGTCAGCATTAAATTACATTTAATGCTCAGGTTTGGCGACCAAGGGGTGCGGCCGCACCAAGATCACCAGATTCAGTGTTTACGTTACTGGAGCTTTTCACTATAGAATGAGTGTCACATCATTAAGCTACTCACAGCGGCTTTAGTGGTCACATTGGTGCGCTCTACAAAGCAGCTTGAGTGTTTTAGATCTCTCTGCTATTCACAAAAGCTCGAGTGTTCTCTTAGCTCAACTGTTCACAGCGGCGTGAGTATTCGCTTTGGAATTGGAATTGGGGTGCGTGGTGACCTACGGTCACGACTTTTAAATCGGCCATACACGCTGCCTAAAAACTTTTACTAGCATCAAAAGAATTAAAAGTTCAAATATACAAATAATAATACCATATTTACAGCTGTCCTAAGAAAAAATATAAAAATTTGACAATCCCCAAAAAGTAAAACAACGTGCTAAAACAATTCGGCACGGTCATTTATGTCTTCCCACCCTCCCCTCTCACAAACCCTCCATTCCTCAAGACTCCACTCTTATCATCTTCCTCCTCTCCCTCATCCTCCACACGTTTTCCAAATATCTCTTCACACTCTCAAACATAGCCGCAGTTGCTCCCTCAGACAGACCCGTAATTATCGCCATCCACTCTTCGCTTGTTCTCTCATGCTCCACTTCATTAATCTCACCTCTCTCTTTCAGAATCACCTCAATCATAGACTGACGCTCTTTCTCATACGTCCCACATTCCATCAACAAGTGTTCTACAACAAGTGCTTTACTTAGTTATAAAAAGCGGCGTTCACATTACTCAATTGTTTACTGCGGCTGTAGTGTTTAAATTATTCAGAAATATCGAGCGGCTTAGGCGTCAGCATTATATTACATTTAATGCTCAGGTTTGGCGACCAAGGGGTGCGGCCGCACCAAGATCACCAGTACGGCGTGCCGCCTGCTCCTCTGTACCTACGGTCTCCCTCGCCCCGTCCGCCCTTGCGATCAGATCACGTCTACTTCAGCAGCAAACCTCCTCGTCCCAGCAAATAGGAATTTCTTTGTATTGTTTATAATATCTTTCCAAGCTGGCCATGTATATATATTTCTTATGTTCTTGCTAGAATTACTACGAAGCAAGCATATTGAAAAATTGATTGTGAGGCGCGATCTTGTTCGAACCAGGGAATAAAAAGTTTTTCTTTGCGGCTGATAATTGCGTGGCCCATAGCGGCTGATGTGGGAGACGAGGGAGTGTCACCGGAAGAAAGGAGAGATGGGCGAAGGCAGGAAGGTTGGCCATCAAGACCGCAGTCTCCACAACTGCCCAACAAGATGTCAAGGCAAAATTATGCTGAGTTGAAAGGATGGGGGTCTCCTCGCTCAGTGCAGGTGGTGCTTGGTAAGCGTCCGACCCTAAGCGTGTAGGATTCCAGTTGTATTGGCCCCACTTGAGCTCAGCGGTAAATGAGGGAGGAAGGAGCGAGGCCTCTTTGGTGGCGATAGGAGGTGGGGGAGCAGCAGGATATTGTTCATGTTAGCAGCCCCAGCGATGCGGGTGCCGCCTGTATAAGAGTAGCCACGAAGTGGTCATATTAGAGGAGGAGCAGGCTGGAAGAAGCTGACATGGAACTGTGAGCATGGAAGTTCCAGAAGGAAGGACTCTTTTAAAAAATGTCAATAGCGACGGCTCTTATGTTGCCTTCACTGTTACTAATGTTTGTTAAAGTAAACAATCGTGGATAATTTTCTCGATTTTTGTCTTAACACAAGGTAGATTTTGCTATAGTTTCGAGCGCACAGGAAATTGAGTACAGAACGATTTAAAATTTTGATGCCAATTTGGTTTTAGATTTTGATCCGCGGTTCGAATCTAGAAAACTAAGCGATGGATATTCACAGGCGGTGGGTGTAAAATAGCCAATTAATTCCGTTTTGATTTTATGCAAAATATGACGATAATATGAAACGGTCCAGAGATAAATATAATTCTACTGATCGCCTACACTTCTAGACATGAATAATTTGATACATTTACACAGCACTGTTTACATTAATCGAAATGGACATATTCATCACTGTAAAATTCTCTCATGAATCGAACCATTTACAACGAATTAAATAGACCCCTTATTCGAGTCAACAGTATTATATGTTGTCCAAGAGATCCACATGGGAGAGAGCAAGACAGGTGAGTCTTGCTCACCACAGGTCATAATATATTCTACCAATACAGTGATGCACGTGAAGAAATTTAATCCGGATGATACAAAGCAGCTAACAAAACACACACTTTAAAATTCCTATGAAAATGAACCAAGCGCTCAAAGCTGAACCCATTAATTAGCATGGCTGGCAGCGGAATTAATCAATGGTAGAGGCAGCAAGTTAAATAATAGCGGAAATAGAGTTGGTGAATCTGGATGTTTCTTGGAAATATATTTGAACTTTTCGATCTCAACTTGCATGTATAAACCAATGAGTTACGGAAAACTTTAAATAAAATGCCGCCTTGAGGCAACGGAGTCTAAATGATCTATTTTTAGCTAGTAAATTACACCTTAAGACACAATAATGAGTCAATCAGTGGTTAAATGAAACTTTTCAAGACACAATGATAATGCGTCTTGCAGCTTATAAACTTCACATCCCAAAATGAAAAAATCACTCAGCTTATAAATGTAACTTTACACAATAATAATCAGTATTTCAGTGGTTAAATTACGCTTTCCTAGACGCAATAATAATGATCTAATATTTAGACAACTGAACACTCGTCGGTCGCTTCAGGTCACACTGCGGAGCTCTGAAGGTTTGTAGTTAACAGATTACACTGACATGTGAATTTGTACCAACAACGGCATTATTAACACTGAATTGTTAAATCCATGCATGGACCAGACTTTGTCACGTTCTATATTTTACGACAGGATTGCCAAACGCAGGATGTTCAAACTAGAATATGAATACATACCACATCATCATATTTCAGCTTAACAGAGGAGTTATTTACATTAGACATAATTAACGTATTCATAACGAAGAAAGTAAGACAAAAATCAACGCAGTTCACGATAATACGTCAAGAATGTAGTATTAGAAACATGGGATGAAAATTACAAGTACTGTTCATTATGGAACGTACAAGAAAATTTATAGGGACAGGGAGATCGTTTTCAAAATGAATACAATTAGAAAATATTGATATTAGTACAGGATGGAATAATTTGTTCTTTTATACAAGTTTGATTGAAGACTACTTATAAGTATAAGATAGGGCTACAGCTTATTGATTTCCAAACTACCGGCCTTGTCAGATCTTTGAAGTGCTTTCTCGAGTTATTTTCTAGTTTCAGTTTGTTGGTAGTATCTTATTTATGTGTTTTGTACATGTCGATAAAAATTTTATTATTCAATGTGTCTTACTACTTGATGACAAATTTTTCTGTTTTCAAAACTTTTTTAGTATAAAAATACCTTTTTCGATCTACCAACGCCAGCAAAAATTTTGTTAGATTTATTGGAAAAAAACCAACAAGAAAATTGTCAATAAAGTCCATTCTCTGGTCTTCAGTCAAACTTGTAGGCATAAAATTAGAATGTGGTACACATGGGATAAAAAACGGCATCATCGCAATGCCTGAACATCATTGCGATGCCTTCGACGAGACAGTGGTCGCCTTCACTCTCTATCACTTTGGCATCGGTATTTATTCTTTGGACAGACTCACGAGCTACAAGACCTGAGGCACTACAGTGCACCGGCTACTTATATTACAGGTAAAATACAGGTCAACATGGTCACACAGACCATGCCAAAAATAAGTTAAGTAGGTATATTATTAAAATGAAGACAAGACCAAGCAGCTACGTTTGTTATAATGCTTAACTATGACATCAACGAAAAACATCACTCAATTCGACAATTCCATACTGGCGACTTAAATACGCTCAAAACTAGATTACCTGAGAAACGCAGTGAAAAGAAGCAATTAAAAAGCTTTGGAGATTTGCAACCAAAAGAAATGAACGTCGCCCAAATAGAAATAAATGAAAAAATTCCGTGTGAGGTTTGAAGATTGTGAGATGACAACTCGTGCTAGAAACGTGGCACCGTAACAGTGATAATAACACCAAGTCTGTACAAACAACATTGAAATCATGTCTCAACAAAACCAACTTACTTTTTCGAATAAACTTGAAGATCACTTCATAATTTACAAACGTTTCATATAACTAATTAGTCACCAAACTACTACGCGAGACAAAAATCCTGTCACTCTCTGATGCATGAATTCGATCTTGCATCACATTCCGTTCTCAGAAAAAAAAAGAAATAAATCAACGATTATTCGGTTTTAATGTATGCGATGGATGATCCCTTCAGCGGGTGCTTGTCCATCAGGACGCGCGTACCAGACATCGATATCCTAAGGAGTGGAGTGTGATGGCAGGCTCGAGTGATGTGATGAGTAGCATGGAGTGTGCAGTGTACTTAGATCATGTGTCTGATGTGTACTGCTGCTACTGCTACTACTACTGTTACTGCTGCTGCTGGTTGTGCTGCACGCAGTTATGTGCTGCAACTGCAAGATGTTGTTATGTACAGTAGCAGGAACCTGTTGCACAGCACTGTCAAGCAGCTGTGCAGTGGCGCTGTGGTGGTGCAGTGCACTGTAAAGCGTGCCGTGAGGGAGACTTTGATTCACGTGAGCACTGGACACGGTCGGCACGACAGTCGTACTGTGGCTGGGTGTGTGCAGAATGGTAGGGTGCGAAGTGCTGCAGTACTGCACCCCGTTGTTGTTATTGCTGCTTGTAATTACATTGTTATTCAAGCTATTGTTACTGCTACTGATATTGACTGGAGTGCTGAGCAAAACGGATGCTGCTGGAACAACCAGGGTCCCGGGCACCACAATCGTGCTCGATGACGAGGCAGGTACTGGCGACGTTACGACGGTTGCAGACGACGAAGAGCTGCTCGTCGCGACCACGGGACGGTGACGACGCTTGACGTGCTCCAGCAGGTGCGACTTCTGGGACGCGCGATACGGGCAGTGTGGGCACGTGTACGGTCGCTCGCCCGTGTGCGTGCGCACGTGGCGACTCAGATCAGATCTGCACCAGGACAAATATACGGTCCGATACACGGTTATTTGAGCAACAATTTCCTTACTCTCAATTACAATTAATACAAAATAAATTCACCAAAAATAATGAAGCCGCGACGCTCTAACAAAGACGATACCTACATCTTTTTGACAAAATGATAATAATTTTTCAACTTTTAAACAGCTATGAAAATATGTTACACTTCTCATCACGAAAAACAATACTTTTGATACGATTACATTAAAATTATATAAAGATGGGTACCTGAGTGCAGTGTCATTCCTGTGTGACTTAGCATCACTGAAGTTGGTCTTGTAGTTGAAATGATGTTTCAACAGCCTGAGTCTCTATAGCTGTATTTAGCCATCAGCCATAAATTGAATTTAAGGACATTTTAAACTTAATAGTCACTAGTCTTAAATTCGAACTCAAGACTTTAACCAACCTGTACATGAAAGCTCTCTGGCAAAACGGGCATCCCATGACCGTTACTGTGCCGGTGCCGCCGGCGTTGCTGCTCGAGCTTCCCTCCAGTCCTATGTTTGTGCTGCTCGCCTGCACCAGTGAACAAATAATTTAGAGATGCAATATCTCATAATATCAAACTGATCCAAAACAAGAAAAAATTGATAATCTTTAAATAATTGAAAAAAATAAATTGATATAATAGAAGATGAATCTAAACATCGTCAAATGTTGATGAAAGTACATAGGTACATATATAATAATGCTTCTCCAATCTGATCAAATAATTACAAATCAATATTAATTTCAAAAATCAATCATGATTTCTTGAATAGTTTTCTATGTTGATAAGAGATGTTCCTATGCTTAGGAAATCCAAGCATGCATTCTCATCATAACTAGGTATAAAGTTAATCAAGCTAGCAATTGAGGAAACTGTAGATTGTTCAGACCACTCACATTTGTCGTGTGCTGATGTTGCTGAGTCCTCACTTCCTCAGAAATGAATCCTTCCAGAGCATAGCCAGTGGCACTGTCCCAAGTCACCAGAGTTTCCTACAGGAAACATGAAAATATGCTAATTAGTTTTGATGTGCAAATGATAAAAGAATGCATGGAGATAAAATAATGCAACATCATTACAATCATTCAGCAGGAAACTCTTGGAATCATGAATTTTTGAAGTAATGGGTTGCATTTGACTCAAGTAATTGTTTAGCTTTAAGAAAACCAGCATGTGTGTTATTCATTTATTAATGCTAAATATACTGCACTTGACTAGAGGCAGCACCTGGTGAGATCCTGAAGTGCCAGGGATTGCAAGGAGATCATGCATGAGAGCTCCCCCTGACGTGGCCACAGTAACAGTTGTAGCTCCAGCAGTTGTATGGTGGGGCTGAGATCCCACGTCATCCTCGTCATCTTCTTCATCGTCTTCGTCGTCAGGAAGAGCTCCTTCGCCCTCACTGTGTCCGCCATCCGTGGTGGGTACGCTGTTACATCCTCGACTGCTTTCTTCTTTCACACCATCCATTTCTTCCTTTACCACATCAGGAAGAGCTCCTTCGCCCTCACTGTGTCCGCCATCAGTGGTGGGTACGCTGTTACATCCTCGACTGCTTTCTTCTTTCACACCATCCATTTCTTCCTTTACCACTGCACATTCCTCCACCAGCACCTAGTGTTGAACAATTAAGGGTAATATTGTGGCCTGTAATTTTTTTCTACCCATCAATAAATTTAAAATATTTTACAGTACTTTTTTATAATGCTACAAACTACTGTCAATTACAGAACAATACATTTCAATACAGTACTCTCTTTCAGTAAATCTAAAGAACTAAAAGCCAAATGTAAAAAAGTACATAACAAAATCAGAATCAATAAAAGGCCAATAAACAAACAAATGTGACAAAAAATGGCAACATTTTCTAGACAGTGTCTTTAAAATATTCTCACCTCAGGAATAGCATGAGAAATCAAAACTTCTTCACTAACAGAGCAAACTTCATCATCCCGAATCAACCTATGCTGTTGGTGGTCCTGGTACTGCACAGGCTGGTTGATGGTAAGAGCATGTTGAGACTGAGATGCTGGAGAAATGACATGTTGAGGATGCAGTATGGTTGCATGAGTTGCACTGATGGTGTGAGCTGCAGGAGTCTGATGAACATTCTCTTCTATGGTGTGTACTGAAGCACGAGTGCTTGATGTTATAGTCATGGCATTGGAGACATTAATAGTGTGAATAGGAAGAGCCCTTTTTATCAGAGTCACCTCTTCAACATCATTCACTCGAGCAACAACATCATTGACAACAATTTTCTCCTGACTGACACTGGCAACACCTGCTCGGCGTTTCTTGAATGCATGTAAATCAGAAGGTCCTTCAACTGCTGGCCGCTTTTTCTCATGAGGTGGTGGGCTTTCATCAGGAACAGCAAGGCCTCTGATTTTTAGGCACTCGGCAGCTTTCATGAATCGAGCCAAGTCATTCCGAGGCACACTGGCCTCACCAGCATACATATAGCTAAGCAATGCTTGCAAATCGGTGTGACGAATGTCTTTTAGAATAATGACAGGTTTTGCACATGTTGTTCTCCCAAGAATGTCTTCAAAATATTCACTACACACTGATAAAACCAACTTGTGAACTGGGAAAAAATGGCTGTCACATGCCAAAATCACATCGCTGTACACATCCTGCAACAAAAAAGATAAAACTGTCATGATGAAAGATAAAGAATATATTGTCAACATTAAGGATAACTTCAAAATAAGTTTTTAACTTTTCATATTTTGATCATAGATGTGTGTAATGGAATTGCAAATTTCTAAAAATTAATGTTCTTTCATGAATTATTTAATTGATATTATAATAATGTGCACTTTACTACTACCGTAAATGGGGTAACTTAGACTCTCGGGGTAACTTAGACCACTTTTAGTTTTTTTAACAAAAACCCCCAAACTCAAAAACTATTTGACATAGAAAAATTTTGTCAATGGGCATTAAAGGCCTATTACTGAGGCTATGTAACACATTAGAAAGATAAAAAAAATTATGCATATCTAATAGGTTAAAAAATGAAAAATGTGACCCATGAAAAAGAGCTATTATTTAAAGCCTGTCATAGAACCCCCTCCAATTTTTTTATTTTTGGGTAAAATAACTCCAGGTTTTGATGCATTGTAGTAGAACTCTTCTAGTTACATATGCAAATGACTAATTTGAGGAAAGTGTCATAGTTTGCAAATGGGGGGCACCGCCCCTAAATGAGGGAACTTCGACCACCTAATGTCAGCCCTGATGGGGTAACATAGACCAGCTTGGAAATTAATTTAAAATTACAATATATAACATATTTTATGTTTGACAGCCTATTTATGTTTTTTCTTTATGTTTCAGACTCTACAGAGTCTTATATATGGTAATTTTAACTTAATTTCAAAGCCGGTCAATATTACCCCTTCACGGCTGACATTAGGTGGTCTAAGTTCCCCCATTCAGGGGCAGTGCCCCCCATTTGCAAACTATAACACTTTCCTCAAATCTGTCATTTGCACATGTAACTAGAAGAGTTCTATTACAATGCACCAAAACCTGGAGTTATTTGGAGTTATTTTACCAAAAAATATAATTTATTTTACCCCCCAGTCTAAGATACCCCAAGAGCTGGGGCAACAAAGACCATCACTTTTTTTGAAATTACACAAAAACTATGAGAGGCAGGAGCCAGAAATTTATGGTCAGTGAACCTAGAGTATAGACCTGTATTTTGCATGTTTCAATTTAAGTTTAATTTAGCTTGTAAAAAAATGGCATCATTAAAAAAAAGTAGTCCAAGTTACCCCATTTTACAGTATATACTGATACTGACCTTTTGGAGTAATGTTGCAAGGCAGTGGACAAAAGCTGAGGAGTGGTTGTTCCAGCGGAGAGAAAGAATTCCATCATCCATTTCTGATAATTTTTTCTTCTTCTAATACCTAATATATATACTTTTTTACATTTTTTTACAGCAAATTTTGGTTGATTTGAAAATGATTTGCTGATTATAAGAAAATCAGAAAGAATGCAAAATATGTTATGAAAATCCTCACAATCTGTGAAAGAAATAATTATGAGCATCAGAATTACTACACCGGAATAAAGGCCAAACAATATTTCTATTTGTGCTTAATTACAAGAATACTGTAATAAACAACAATACTGTAATAAATACATGACTCTTGGGAGCCAAGAACAAGACTGAAATAATTCCACTTTTTCTAGAATATCTTGGCTCAAAATTTCATAATTAATGAATAAGAAATCTTTTGGCCCTATAGTTTTCTATAGGTATATTTTGGTTTGATTAGAAATTGAGCAACTGTTGAACTGACATTTGAAAAACAAATGTGATATTGCAGTTCAATATCACACGCCTTTTTTTTAACTCCAAAAAATTTAGGTACTAGAAGCCACCTATGAATTGGACAATACCGTAACGCTAATGAAACTGGCCAACTTCACACATTCCTGTTGCATTTTCCAAATTCCTTCAGAGAAAAGTACAAAAACAGCCTATTTTTACCTGCCATTTGTGAAAATCCCCTGTCTTCTATGAAATGATTGTTTAGGGTAAATGCACCATATTCCGACACTGTGGGTAATTCCGACACTTCTCTATTTTTTCCTTTATATTAAGCTTTGTCTTAGTTCCACGCATGCGTAGATAGTTGAAATAGTGACGTCATATTATTGCGCGCATTACTTCCGCAAAACACTAGGTCTGGCAGGAAAATGTTAAGATCTGCAGAGCAAAAAGTCCATGTCACCCACTGACACCCAGTGAGAACATCAAAACATGTGTGAAAGTTGATACTTGACCTTGCTCTACCAAATAGTGATAGATAAACTGTTTGTGTAGAAAAAATATTATGGTTTGAGACTTTTAAGTAAGTCAGTGAATATATTAGAAATCCTTTAAGTATACTTGTATTTGCTGATTACAAGTGGTAAATAAATTAATAGATGATTGATTTAAGAGACGGTTTTAGACACATAAAAACTAATACCGACACAGTGTTGGAATTACAACACAGCTGTGACAGCCGTGTGTTGTATAACGACACAGCTCACACAGGGTGTCGGAATTCAAACACAGGGTGTCTGAATTACGATTTTGAAGTGTTGTTGGAATTACCTAGTCTCACAATATGCCTCGTTTAGTCACACACGTGTCAGAATTTAGCAATTTAGTAGATTTGAATTCTAAAGGCTTTTAAATAAATATGGCAACAGTTTTTGACGTTTCATTGTTGCTGGGGCCCATGGTGCAGAGAGTGGATGCAGCATCGCCAATATATGGGTTTTCAAGCCCTAAGCATCACCGGGTAATCTTAAGATGCGTCGCCGGGTAATTTTTAATGAAAAAGCCATTTACGCTGAGTACCTAATGAAAAACTATTTACAAGCCACGAACTTATTTACAAGGTTGCATGCACGTGTTACCCCAAATAACTAATTTTACCCTAAAAACAGTCTGATTGTACAGCAAGTGTCAACTGAACATGTGATAATGCAGTCTGACCACTCTAATGTGACCGCAACTACGTAATCATAAACTTGATGTTTACATTTTTTTGGTGGGAACTCATTGCAACTGATTTCTGGACAAGCTTCACTGCATACTGATCAATCCAACATACCGGAAACCTTACTTTTTTTAAATAGTTGGCCGAAGACTGACAAATATATTAAATGAAAGAATTTCAATCTAAATGTGTCGGCAAGATCTTCTGAAGGCATAAATTTTGCTACTGAAGCATCGCCAAAGATCTTGCAATATTCATCCACTATCTGCACAGTGGCTGGCGCATAGTGTGGTGTTTTGAAAGTGACGTAAACCAATCAGAACTCGAGTTGCGCATACGGTGATCTATTTATAGCCATTTATTTCTTGCTACATCCCTAAGGTGTTGGAATATGGTGTGTTTACCCTAATTTGTTTCTACCTGCAATTTCCAGAATTTTTTGCCCAGGGTACAGAGGGTGGATGCAGCATTGCCAATATATGGGTCTTTAAGCCCTAAGCATTGCTGGGTAATTTTAAGATGCATCGCCGGGTAATTTTTAATGAAAAGTCATTTACGCTGAGTAATGAAAAACTATTAACAAGCCACAAACTTATTTACAAGGTTACATGCATGTGTTACCCCAAATAACTAATTTTACCCTAAAAACAGTCTGATTGTATAGCAAGTGTCAACTAAACATGTGATAATGCAGTCTGACCACTCTAATGTGACCACAACTAAGTAATACCAAGAACATTTTTTGTTCAGTCCAGCCTCAAAGTTTTGCTCCATACAAACAATATTGTTAACTAAATGTTAAGTTGTTAACTATTCAACCATATATATTTGTGATTTGCACAGTGCACAGTTGGGCAGAGTAAAGCAATTTATGTCCATCTTCAACTTCAACCGTGGCAGGCTTGGCTGTAAACAGAATCCCTTCTCAGCCTACTCAAACAGTTAGTGTCTCGGTCACTCTTTTTTTTTCTTCCAAAGATTTGTATTTTGTGGGAGCCTCTGAAGTCTAGTGCAAAACTTACGGGTTGTCACTATGAGAAGATTTCAAATTTACCCTTATATTTGTACGACTCTAGTTCAATCATTAATGCGGCGCCACAACAGTCAACAGGATTGGGGTGCCTAGTAGTTATTTGAGAATCTGAAAGCCGGAAAATTTGCAAAAAAAAAAACGCTTTAACACTGTACCACACACACACACGTCTAGGTCACTCATGACAGACCAGCCAACTGAGCCAAGTCGACAAATTAATAGATGACAGATCATTGTCCGCAATAACAGAAAAAGAATATCCGAATAAAACAGTGTACTGGAACAATGTGAAGTAATAGTTGAGTATCAGCATAAAGATAAATTCGAACAAATACTAATTAAATTCAAACAAGATACTAATAATTCAAATTCAAACAATTCAAATTCAAACAAGTACTATTATTGTTGTTTGTAAGCTAATGGAATCTGTTGTGAGGGATAGGATTATCCATGGTTGAAATAATTTTATTTAAATCAACCATGGGATTATAGGAACACTTGACTGTTCACAATCTCCTATCAGATTGTAAACATGGTTTTATTGCCGATAGATCCTGCACCACAAACTTATTATCTTCGTTGAACGATTGGACTCGCCTACCGGACGAAAGAGGGCCAGTGGATGCATTGTACCTCGATTTTGCCAAAGCATTTGACAGTGTTCCGCATGAGCGGCTGTTGCATAAAGTGAAGTTTTTGGGAATTGAGGGAAACGTACTCCATTGAATCAGAGATTTTCTAGTAGATGGACGAAAACGTGTCAGTATTAACGGAACCGTGTCAGACTGGGCATCAGGGCGCAGTGGCGTGCCACAAGGAAGCGTTCTTATGTCTATTTTGTTCGTTGCTTTTATAAATGATCTGCCAGAAGCAGTGTCCAGCGTGTGCTCCATGTATGCCGACGACACAAAAGTTCATATACAGTGAAGGATACGTCAAATAAAGCGCAATTGCAAGATGATATTGACAGTTTAATTAACTGGGCTGGTACGCGGCAGCTGCGGTGTAATGCTGACAAGTGTAAAGTACTTCACCTCGGGAAGAACAATGAACAGCAAGATTACAGTATGAGAAGACATGGTTGCAACGAGAGAGTAATGATTGAAAAGTCTAGTGTGGAAAAGGATCTTCGGAGTTTATGTCGCCAAGGAGCTGAAATTTTCTAAGCATGTTGAAACGCAAGCTAACACATCCAACAAACTTCTTGGACTAATCAGACGTCCATACGAGTTCCTAGATGCAGAAGCGATGAAGCAGTTGTTTGTTGCTGTCGTGCTCCCGAATATAGAGTTTGGAAACGTTGTGTGGTCACCGAGATTTGAAAAGGACAAAAATTTAATAGAGAATGTTCAAAGACTGACAACAAGGATAATTCCAGGCTTGAAGGGCAAGTCCTATGAAGAAAGAGTAAAGATTATGAAGCTTCCAAGCCTCAGTTATCGACGTCTGTGTAGGGACCTCATTGAAATATACAAGTATACTCATGGTTTATACAAGGTCCCTGAAAGATTACTAGAATTGAAAACAAGAACCAACACCAAGGGCCACGGCTATAAACTAAAAAAAACTGCGCTGCAAATTCTTCACGCGACAACATTTCTTCTCGCTTCGAATCATCGACATGTGGAACAGCCTCCCTGATGACATCGTTGGCGCTCCAAGTATGAACGCGTTCAAGAACAGACTAGATAAAGCTATGAAAAAATATATGTTCAGACTTGAAATTCTTAGTACCATATCGAACCCAGTGGAAGTCGAGTAGCTATTTCAAACTATCGTCAGTCATGAAAAGATCCGGTCAATGGACACGATTTTTGATTTTCTGTGAACAAGGCACGAAAAGTAAAAGAATCGGCGACAGGCCACATCAGGCCTACACTGCAGCGCCGAGATCACTATGTTATGTTATGATATATTATGTAATTAAAGCAAATGTCTAAGATATATGTCTAAGATAAAAATCATATTTTGCAATATAGTACCGGTAGTAGCTATAATTTATGTAACATAGTAGTTAACTATGTATGTTAAAGTCATAAAGGACGTCATTGTATCATAAATAATACATATTTGTTATTGTGTTTGTAGATTTTTTAGTTTTAACAAGACAATTTTTCGTATGTTTGTAGAAATTGTAATTCAGGAAAGGATATGCACAAATACTTACTCGCATGTCCAAAGAAGTTATGTTCATGAAATTGGTCCATACGGCCATACCATATGAAGTTATCTTAATTCGAAGATTTATCAATAATTAAAAATTAACATCGAAGCATAGGTAAAACTACTATAGTCTAACATTACCTAAATATACACATGTAAGAAAAAATATTGAAATTATGCATGATATGGACAATCTTTATCATGTTGACCGCATTTAAGCATCGTGAGAATCTGCACACTTGCATAACCCTTTGGCGGATAAAGTTTCGTGCGTGTGCAGAACACCACATTTCACACATGCCACATTGCTGAAATTATTCATTGAAGCAAATTTGACAGCGACATAAATGTTCATCTGGTCATAGCGCAGCCTGAAATTAAAGGCAATATTTTTATCCAATTGAACCAAGATCTAAAATTTCAGCAATGCACCAACTGAGGCTGATGGACACCCGCTCTTCTAGAGAGGGTGTCCATCAGCCTCAGTGTTTTTCTGAAGCCCTCAAGGCAGATGGTTCGGTGGCGACGACCTTGTCTTTCCATTCACTCGCAAGAAGTAGGAAGCAGCAATTACAGAAGAGAGGTGCACATAACCACGAAATGACACAATTTATTTTATAAAAGCCATGTGGAAACTTTTTGTTATATACTTGCATTTAATGATGAACGGTATAATAACAAATAATCTCTACGAAGTTATCCACATATTCTTTATGGTGGTATCTGGCAGCATCCTGCAGACGGTGGCCAGGTATCCGCAAAAATCCCTTCTGCTGGAGTCAGAGTCGAAGGGAATGCGACGAGCAGTAGTGCGTGAGATCCTGGTGTGAGTGGTGTGTGTATTTCGTCCCCATGATCGACTCGTATGAGACTTGGATCTGATTCGTTCTAAAGCCGTTTATTATTTACTATTGCGCGTTATTCATGTAAGAGAGGTAAGTGTGTACTATGAAACTTGAATTTCTATATCCATAAGAATGAAAAGCATCAACTACTTCCTGATTCTTGGTACTTAGGGTCTAGGTAGGAGGCATCCTGCGACAGCGGCTGGTCGCGGTGTCGTCACGTAGTTTTTGTATTCTCTTATTTCTGGTCATGACTCGACAACCTTCGAACTGCTTACCGAAAATCCAATAGGTGACGTGAGAGGAAGTTATTGCAGTCGAGCTGATCAAACCTGCCCATGCGAAGATGTATGACTGTATGTTAACCTGGGAACATTTTCGCTCTTCTAATGCATTCTTTGCTAACGATAGTTATTTCTAGTGACCCGAAGTCAGTAGTGACATTTTTGTATGGGATGCTACAAATTTTAATTTCAATATTTATTAAATCATCGTTATGAAGTTATTGCAGTTGAGCTGATCAAACCTGCCCATGCGAAGATGTATGACTGTATGTTAACCTGGGAACATTTTCGCTCTTCTAATGCATTCTTTGCTAATCATAGTTATTTCTAGTGACCCTAAGTCAGTAGTGACATTTTTGTAGGGGATGCTACAAATTTGAATTGCAATATTTATTAAACCAACGTTACGTCAATAACTTCCAAGGAGCGAAAAATGTTCGAAAAAAATGGCTAATTTCTCTACTATTGCGGAAAAATTCAAGAATTGTCTCGCTATTTTGTCGCTTTCATCAATACTTGCTAAAAGAAGCAATTCAAATGTTGAATTTTTTTCGAGATTGAGCAAAAGAGGTCAATCTGCGCACGACATCCCGCTAACGGAATGCGGTGTGAACTTCGTTTGAGGTCGCTGTGGAAAATTCGGGGCATCGAAATGCTTGGTGCAGCAGTAGGGAAATTTTTTCGTCTCGTGCGTTTCTCAAAATTTGTTTACGCTGTAGCAAACTTAGACAATTTAAACTTGTATCTAATGGCTAATTGATTTGTGAATGAAGTCTAACTTCGATCTCCCAAGTGTTACTACTGTAGTTCTTTGTTGTAAGTTCTACGGTAGTTCTTTATTGTAAATTATTCTTTCTTGTATCCAAGACAATCAAGTACAACGTTCATTCTAGAATGTAGATAAAATTATCTCATGGAGTTACTCATTTATAAAACTGTGCACTGTGCTAATGACGAGAAATTGTACTGTACGCAGATATTCGGTGGAATATGCAAGATTTTGAACGTTCACCTTCTTTACGAATAATTTTCTTTCGAAGTAAGATTACGAAAATTATATACAGCAGGGCAAAGTTGCCTAAACCGGCATTATTATTATTATTTTGTTCGACTTACAAAGCCACGCAATAATTGAAATGTTAAATTTTAAGCGTTGTAATTTTTTAATTTATGTTATGAAATCAAAAATTTTTAGTGTAAAGATAGAGAAAATTATCATAAAGCTACTCACATATGAAAAAGCTTGCAATTTAAATGAAACCGACGGCGCCACTAACAGGCTCGTGTCTAGAAAGGAAGTCGCCACAAAATAAAATTTTGAAAAATTATCTGATCGCATAGAAAATGCAACGCGTATTTACATGATGATTTTCCAGATTTATTCTATCATTAAAAGTCATGAAGGCATCCGATGACTGAAAGAACGCTGGGCCTCAATCTGCATCTCGAATTTCCAATGTTTGAAAAGTTTTTATTGATAAGCTTTCGAAACTCGCGATTATTTCGACTGATCCACTTTGATGGAAGTAACTATATTTTTCTTGGAAGATATCAGATGATTTTCTGAGCCAAGTTCCCGGAAAAAGAACCTCTAGGCTCTACCTAGCATTGCCTCACCTGGCCGGCCGCGAGGTATCTATACACTCAGAAACATAGATGAGATTTTGTCCACATTGTGAGACAAATTTCACCAGTGTGTAGGCCATCCTGACCCGTCAAACGGGTGCATCCGTGCTACGTATAAACTATATATATCGACTTGAAGTTCTAGTTGAAATTATACAATAAGAAGACTTTATTGAATTATCTAGAAATAAGTTCAGTATTTCCGGATATTTCCATCCATATTACGATGCATTTATAGGCAACAAAAGTCAGGTAGCATTTACTGACGCGCCTAAGCCTTTGCGACCGTATAGCCCTCGTGAGAAATGACGTAGACCTCACATTAGCAGGCCTGTCACCTATAGACTATAGTCCGACTGAAAGTGTTCAAGATATTAACTAAAGATATGGATTAAAAACGATCGATGTGGAATAAAAACGTTCGATATGGAATAAAAACGATCGATGTGGAATAAAAACGATCAATGTGGAATAATAACGATCAATGTGGAATAAAAACGATCAATGTGGAATAAAAACGATCAATGTGGAATAAAAACATGAAATAATAACGATCGATGTGAAATAATAACGATCGATGTGAAATAATAACGATCGATGTGAAATAATAACGATCGATGTGAAATAATAACGATCGATGTGAAATAATAATGATCGACGTGGAAGAAAAACGATCGATGTGAGATAATAACGATCGATGTGGAATAATAACGATCGATGTGAGATAATAACGATCGATATGAAATAATAACGATCGATGTGAAATAATAACGATCGATGTGGATTAATAGTATGTCCGGGAAAAAGCTGTATCAGTGCTACCTGCAGAAGGTGTGTCACTAATTTGACAATTTGAGCCATCAATTTTCTGAGTGAGGTCTCCAAGGAGGCTTCCTTGGCAGCGCGTTAAAATAAATCCACTAACTCGTCACTCATAAAAATTAACGGTGCCTATTGTCTGAATAGTGACTCACTTTCATATTTCACAGCATGAGCAGAGAACGAACGTGGCGTCGGTATGTCCTTTTTGTTGGGCCGATTAAAGTCAGGATGGCTCACACAAGGAGAAATTAAGAGTGCATCGCGGTTGGGACAAAGTCACACTCACTTCTCTGAGTGTAAATCACTGTGCGGTTTAACACTATACAGTGGGGGGAAATAAATATTCATACACTTGAAAAATCGTATTTTATTGTATGTAAGTACACAAACTGAACAGGAGAAGTGATTTATATTATGTATAGACTGTCTCTTATACACATCTAGATGTGTATAAGAGACAGANAATATTATGACTATGACCCATTAATTCTTTTGAGTGTGCCGGAATCCATTAGGCGATGGCATAATAGCGAGTAACGACGCACGCCGAGTCAATGTTGAGTCAATGATAAAGAAATCGCCTCCGAAGCTACTAAGGTTCATCAGCTGGATATTCGTAAAAACTTTTCAACTCTCGAAAAAATAAGAGGGTCAAATTGTCCAGATAGCGACACACTTTCTTCTTCAGGGATCACACTATGTCAGGATGACCCACACAAAGCAAATCATGCATTTTCATTTTAATTATGACGCTCTCATTTCTTTGAGTGGTTATACTGTCGAACAACGGCTCTAACTGTTAATATATACCCAATTTGATGCAGTCATGCACGGTAATGCTCTGGTAACTATCTATTTACTTTATATGCAGGTATTTTATGAATTAGAGAAAACCGCTTCTTTTTTCAGTGCTAAGTTCGGCCTTGCTTGAAATAAAATATGACCGAGACATGTTTTATTCGTGTCCTGAAAAATATTAAATATTATTTTATTACTACACGCGACTTATTTCATTCGTGATTAGATTAGTTAATAATTCTTGTGGAGTGTTAAGAAATTTCCCAACTACGTCGAGAGCGACATCCATTTATAAGAGCTCTGCTTGAAAACGAGAAAAAATTCAGTTTTTACAAAGATTATAATCTTTGTAAGATTATAATCTTTGTATAATCGATAATTATCGATCATGCTGCCTTCTTGCAAATATTGTGTCTCTGGGCATTTAATTCACTTTTAATATTAACAATAATTGTACACTACTGTTGCGAGTAATATTAAAATTAATTACTATAAACTTTGATTTCGAGTAGGGTCGTTTCGATTTCTAGTTTGATTAAATTATAAGATAACATTGCAATTTTGTTCTGAAGAACCATTTGCTTCACATTGGCATTTAATCAGTAGCTATTCCATCAATTTCTTAAACAAACATTATATCGTCTTTTTATCAATTAATTTTGTGTGTCAGTCTGTTTGAAGGCTTTTTCCGTAAATAAATAAATATATATAGGCGTAAATATATATATGTATTGTATATAGTGGGGCTGTTGGGACGCGTATCCATGATACTTATTGTGTCGGGATATATCCTGGACCTAAAAATTTATTCTTAGTGGGAGAATGAAAAGGATTGAAGGTTGGAAAGGATTAAATACAAAATATATAATAAAATTTTTATATGGATTCGTATCAATTCATTTAAAAAATTGCAAAACGTTTTTTTCATATTTTGAAACCAATCAGAGTAAAAAGTAGGAGTTCGATGTTCTCTATTGTACGTGGGTAATAACGGGTCTTTCTTTATATATATAGGATTTTATTAATGAAAGGAAGACCTATACAGCAGTTTTATTATTATTAACGGGATATATTATAATTAGAGATTATAATATAACACAGTAAATCAATATTCCCGGACAACGCTGGGCTAACGTGCCCTGAATACATATAATTTTCTTATACATTGACTGCAAACTTTGTAGAGTGCAGCATTTAAAAACTTGTAACCGCCATTTGCATGCCCTGTTGCTTATCTATCCCAGAAACCTACTAATGGTAGGAAATGCTTTTACTTTTTGCTATTTGATAAGCAGGCTTTTGATGACAATGTACATGATGAAGATTTCTTTTGTAGCACAGGAAATAACTTATTTTACGCTATCATGCATGGACAATCTTATCTCACTGTCCGACGCATCGAGTGCTGGATGCATCCTGTCTCTTATACACATCTAGATGTGTATAAGAGACAGGTTTAACACTATACAGTGGGGGGAAATAAATATTCGTACACTTGAAAAATCGTATTTTATTGTATGTAAGTACACAAACTTAACAGGANAACACGTCTACCTAACT